AATCCTACAAACTGCCGTAGGTACACAAGGAAGAAATTCCCCTGAGGCCGATCGTTTGCCTTCCAAAAACAGTGACATAAAAATTCTGGAAGAGACTGAAACCAGTCATCACAAGAATCGAGCATGGCGTGATGAGCTCTAGGTAGCTCTTGGGCAAGCTGAACTACAAACATCCGAGAAGTAGATGGACTTATACCCTCCTTTGATGTCGCCACTTTGGACCCAACAAGATATACGTTGCGGTTAGTTGATAACTGGGAGCCCCCCAAGTCAACCAATGGAACTAACTACCACATTTTAACTTATGGAGCGACGCATGCAGACAAAGTTCAACTTGGATGGCGAAATCTACGAACAGATAAGATGGACGGGATCGTCAATTTCTGGATTCATAGCTGAAACCGTAATGTAGGAGCTGGAGAAGGAAGTACTAACTACAATCATGCCAAAACTTTGGCTCTGATACGTCAATGACACATTCGTCATCTTGAAGAAGTCGGAGCGAGAAGAAGCACACGCAATCATCAATACCACATGCAATGACATCAAATTCACACTCGAAACGGAGAAAGATAACCAACTGGCAATTATGGGCATCTTGATCACCAAAACACCTCAGAAAACCTTGAGACAACGGTCTATCGCAAAGCAGCACAGACGGAACAAATCATTATCTAAAAAATAAATCATCTATACAGCCACAAAAGATGTTGTGTTAGAACCCTGTACGCACTGCAGCAATGACAAAATCAAGAGGAAATAGGAGAGATGCCTTTCAATAAAAGAATTTTGACTGAGAGAAACAAACAAATAACAGACGGAGAATCTGGAATAAGAACAGCCTATCCGTGCATCAATGAAGTTTCAGAAATGAGAGAAAGACCTATCAGATCATGTGGAATCTAAGTCGCTCACAAACCGATCACCTGTCTAATGAGAAGTATTCCACAACCAAAAGAGAGAACAGTGGAGAAAGGCAAGGGCAATTTTATCTTCAAAATGAGCTACGAAAACTTCCTAAAACACTATCAAACAAATCGGAAGAAAACTATCAACAACAAAAGATCAAGGAAAAGCAGTCGATAGTCAAAAGGTATGATCCACTATCGTTGATTTCCCTACACGAAGATCAAGTTGGACATCAATTTGAATAAGAAACAGTGAAAATCTTCGACCAAGTCCGATCAAAACATGTCACAAATTCTTTTGAGGCTTAACACGCTTTAAAAAACTCACTAAAGATCGCATCAAACTGAATCACGTGTATCGGTGAATACAATTCAAGGATCAAGTGACTCAACGAAAGGTCACGTCGTAAACTGAATATGAACCAAAACCGCGATCAAAGGGGAAGAACAACCCACCACCCTCACCCCGTCACGCCAGTTCCACGTTGAACCGGGTCGAACACTGTGAGAACAAAGGACGAAGAATAAAGTCGGTGAAAAAGAACATTTATAAACGTTGTGATCCGAGCAGAACAGTGCCACTTCATAAGCACTGGTGATGCAACGTTTGCAAACAAATCACCAAATTCAGCGAACAGGCGAAATTAAGTACAGTTCTCACAAGCTGCGAGAAATGATTTGCACTATTTTGTCAACAATACAGTGATTTTGTATTAAATAGAGTTATTATGTGACGTTCTAATCCCTCACTGGTATTCGAGTTTCTCGTATAATCAAAATCACTTAAATGTAAAGTAAAACTTGTCATTCTCGGATGGCAAGTTTACAAAGGGCTCTACAGTAAACGAGCCGTTTCAAAAGAGAAGTAGAACAACCTGTATTTTTGATTAAGAATAAAATAATCAAAAATAGAAGCCAACTAATTTATTGAGAATAGTCGTGATTTATAAAAATCAAGGAGGACTGCTTTGGGGAAGCTAAATATACATAAATATCACCGCTGAATCATATCAGGGTGATCCATCACTCATAGTTTTTCACAAACAAGAATTCCTTTGTAAAGAATCCCACCAACGAAATCCGTCGATATAGGGAAAAGCTACGTGTAATGAGTTCTTGATAAGCATAGTACTCGTTTAGTCTAACTAGGTGAATTTAGCTAATCAAAAGATTTTCGAATGGCATTTCAAAGTTCAGAGAGTCAGTTACTGATTTCTCTTGCACCTTCAGATGTTACGAGTACCACGACAATAATTGAAAACGATATAAATTTATCTGTGGCTTATGTACAACAGTCCGTGCTCTAAAATGGTCAACATATCTGGGGAAGGATACCTTGTGAAGAAGTGAGGGATTGTGTTTGACCACCTCATTAACCTTCGGCTGCTTCCAATCCTTAGCAGCATAGGGCAGTCTGCCATGCCATGGTTGTTGTCAATCTCGATTGTAAAGTAAATTGAAGGAACCATAATTTTTAGAACCTCTGTTAATTTTATCACCAAAGGTTAGCAGTTGTCTTGCGCCCAAAAATCGGCATTATAACATATTAAAGTGAGAGGTACTCTATTGATGCATCCACTCCATGTTAAACATGGCCAAGTGTTCGCACTGTCACCCCACCCCTCCCTCGCAAAACCGTAAATCTTATTTGGTCTCATTGAATAAGGCCCAACCGTTGGTCCGTAGTTCAGTTTCACCAATCTATCACGATCACATGCACAATACATCAAATGCCGAACAGTTGACTGACGACTGCTATATGTAACATTCAATGCACTTCAGTCGTCAAAGTTGTTTGAGTGTCGTAACGTGTATGAAATTTTGGATTTTTTATATGTAATTCTTATTCGATGGCACGTTATCAGTAATGACTGTAAGCGCTCCACACCACATTAACTTAACATCATATTTCAAGGAACCTTGATTATTTGTTTGCTTCCAACTATTGGTGCCGAATAAACCACGTTCTGTCAAAACCTGAAACAACTTTTAGCCCGGAGAAATCAATGATATAATCGATAGAGTCCCAAGTTCCATAATCCTTATGCAGAAATCCACACTGGACACTGTGTTGTTGGTGATGCCCTTACTACTATTAGTCTGTGGTTAAAATATAATGGAAAGCACGGCTTTTGGGATAGATTTAAGTCTAGATAATTCTTTTTCAAGAATGACGTTTATCTGCTAAAACTTCTGGATGTCTTTTATCCCATGCCGTGCAACTAACAGATGGCCTTTTACAAATGCCTTATATTAGACAACAAGTGGCACTGACCAATATCAAGTATTCCCAACGTGAGTTCACCAGATGACAAGCAAGCAGCTAGGTCCGTGGTTGAGTCAGGTGTATTTCCTCCAGTTAGCTCATTAAACCTTTGCGGAAATCAGTTCAAAGCTTACCGCGAAATAGCCAGTGATCAGCAAATAAAACGGTAATATCACAAACAATACACTACAAACCAGAACTGATCAAAACTTGGTTTTCCTATAGCGGCCGAACTGCATCACGTTCACAAAATGGCTCTCAGTTCAACATTGTGTGGATTGAACTTTCTACTTCAACACAGTTCGCATTCGCCTGTGCACTGATTGTCACCGCTACATTCATTGAGGATTTTGCTTGGCGGTTTGGATCAAACAATTTCATAAATCTCTCTGATTTTCGTAAATCTGTAGTAAGAGCGCGCCCGATTTATGAATCCGTTATCAATAATTCACCCAAATATGTACATCTCCCCATGTGCATCCCTGGATGTGTGTGTATTCCCGTGTGTATGTGCGGAAACTGGTCCGAACAAAGATAGTTTCCCGGTTAGGACAGTCACCACCAGTTTTACCGTTGTGTCGATTCACATCCAGTAGAAAACTGGTGGCATGCTTTTATGATTCATTCGGTGGGTGGGAGTGATTTCAACTAAGGCTGACAATGACAGGCATTTTATCAACCAGTCAGTCCCCAACTTCCTGACTGTGTTCAATGAATCCGCTTTTGAAGCATGGTACAGTGTTGTCTGTCTCCGGTTGTCCTGCTGGGTGTTCCTCACTGTAGGCTTGTATCACTGTGGCCCTGTCATCTATAATATAACTTATCGTGTGCACAGGATCAGACCAATGTACGTGTTTGTAATTTCCACGTCGTTTTTACAAATGAGAATGAACCATTTATGACACAAGTTGATTCAACTAGACAACAGACTTGCTCTCTCCCAATTGTTTTGAACGAATTTCTCCACCCTGAATTACCGCCTTATTGATAACCTGGTAAAGTGCCAGTGCAAAGTTATGCCTCACCATGCCCAGCCATTTTCCTCAACCCAGCTGCAACAACTTTTGAAGTCATAATTCAAACCGGCAGACCGTCTCCAATACCACGTCGTACTAACCCTAACTTAGGATAACACGGTGTATGATGTTCACGAAAAGAGCAAATGTACAGTTTGTGTCAACCAGATTTGTGGTAAATAATAAGTAGACGTAGAAGAAGAAATAGATTCACCATATACGGGAAAGGATACGCATGATTCCATTTACGTTTCAGTCCCCCAGAGATGCATTTCGCCTACATTTGTGCCCAAAACTGTACAATTCGGTTTGGTTTAAAGGCAAACACAAAGGCAGACCCGATTTTATGTAAAACTTTCGCAGCTCCTAAAATCTGACTATCTGCAAAACACCATAGAAGAAGATTTGAGTGAATTAGTACACGAAAGTGCACAACTGAGTAGTTGTCTAACCATTGGTTTCTACTCAGCGAATGAGGGCAATAGGGAAGCTGAGTTTATTACACTTCTGATTGGCTGAACCCCAATCTCATCAGTTTGTTCGCCCGCTTTACGGCCGCCCGCCCGCTCGCCCACCCATCGTCCTCACTGCTCGCCATCCGTTCGTCCNGGCACACTCACGCACGCACGCACGCACCCATTCCGTGCAAACGTGCACAGTCATGATCGAGAGCAACAACAATAATCGGTGAACTCAAAACTCATTTGGTGTTTGACATAGCAGAATGTTCTGCACCTCTGTGCCCATTTCCACTTTTTCATTCAGGACTCTTTTCTCGTCACTGTAAAAAATATTCAGCCAGTTCCCCAAATGGATCTCATTCATATTTTATATGTTCTCTTCTACCCCGTATTTGTGTCTTTCCTGTGTGCTGTGCTTGCGACCAACACTATCGAACAGACAACTCAAGTGATCGAGTTGTACACAAATTTGCCAGAGGAGCGACCTGTCGGACAGGTGGTAATGCGACTGGCTGAGGAACTCGAGCGTCACGATCGACAAGCACAGCGTAACTATCGTTTGCCAAGTGGAAACACTCGATTTCATCTACTACCCACACACGATGCCTCACTGTTTCATATCAATACAGACGGATCTTTGGTGATTGCCAAACGTCTGGACTATGAAGAATTGTGTGATTCAACCCGTCTGACTAAACGCGTGCTTCCAACACAGGGACATCTCAGTATGCATGAAACCGCATTTGGTAGATCATCCGCTAACACACCCCTGTGTCAACTGCATGTTCGTGTACTCATACTCCAAACCGCTGCCTCCGCGGTTGGTACGCGCAAAGATCATAGGGGTGACAAGGGAGAGAACAGCGCCGGTAGCGCTGGCAGTCAACGCCAGTTGCGTACTATCGCAATCAAAATAACCTTACTAGACACGAATGACAATCGACCGACATGTACTTTGAGTCGACCAAGAAAATTGGAGACATCGGCATACTCTAACACCGATTGGATCAACGTAGCTGAAAACACTCCAATCGGTACAGTGATCGCGAAATGGAAACTGTCTGACAGGGATACCATGCCAAACGGAATCACCGATGCTCGTCTGTTTGGAACAAAAAATGGAAAATCTACCCTGCTGAGCAGTGGTGAATTACCTTTTCGATTGCAATTTGATCAAACAATGGGTCCTTGGTCAGTTGTTGATTTGAAATTAGTGCTTACTAAAAGTGTGGAATACATCGATCAACAAGAGCAACAACAACAACAAATAAGCCGTGATTATTCCGATGAATTGGATGTGTATAATCTAAAAATTGTCATACTGGATTCTAAAGAAACACATGCATCCACCAGTCCGACCGGTATTACTGTTGGTGGTGGGGGTGTTGGTGGGGCAGGAAGTGAGGGTGTAGTTGGTTTGTCATGGAATGCAGCCTCTTTATCATCTGCGGTTGGAATCAGTTGTCATTTACAAGTTCGCATCACGGACATAAATGATCACAATCCTGTCTGGATAAGTCCGGTGAATTTTGTGAACGGTCAGCCGTTTGAGTTGGAGCTGACGGAAAGTAAATCTTATGCTCAACGCGAACTTCTTCGACTCAAAGCGATCGACGCAGACCGCGGACCGAATGCTCGCATTGCTTATCACTGGGCTCCGCGAAATCACTTAAATTTGACCAATGAGCTAAGTTTGAATTCGGTTGCCGATACTACTTATCAGGAATTGGTATCGCGACTGTTCTATCTGGATGCGGCCACAGGGTCGTTACAATTACGAGGGACCAATGTGGATTTTGAATCCATCAGCCGATTACATCCACGTGAACCGGATTCCATTGGCCCACTCCCTGGGCGTTTGGCCATCACTTTACGCGTGATTGCGTCAGATCAACCAGTGAATCAAAGTGAGCAACGTCTTAGTCCGGTTGGGATTATTACGGTTTGGTTATTGGATGTGAATGACAACAGTCCACACATTCAAATTATTGGGTTACACAGTGCTGTCGATTTGCCCGAATTCCCATTCCCGTTGACCAATACCCCACCAATCTATCCACAGATAGTTTATATTGCAGAAAATTTACCAATAAACGAACCAGTTGCATTTATCACGGTGACTGATGAGGACAGTGAAGCTCATGGTGGATTGGCATGCACGTTACATCAGTCGACAGCTGATCGAATGGGATCGGAATTGCAAGCATTTCAGTTAGTCAAACTAACTCAGCAGACAGGATCAGAGGACCCAACGCACACATATCTTCTACCGGACACTCTCCAGTCGATAGACGCCACCCGTTCGATCAACTATAAACTGATCACAACACAAAGTTTGGATCGTGAACGCATGGGTGCCTACCATTTGAATCTTACTTGTAGAGATAGTTTGATCAATGCTGTAGCTAGCAATCCGGGAGCACAACTCACAGCTTATCGCACGATTGAAGTAGTCGTAACCGATCGGAATGACAATCATCCACGTATTGTTGGTGTCATAGATCGTTTTATGGGAAAGATTAATACCAGTACTACTCCGGCCGGTGCGTTTGTCTGCACGGTTCGCGAACATGCACCATTCGGAACAAAAATATGCCAACTGCGTGCGGAAGATCTGGATCAGACTGGGACAGGTGCGGGTATCAGTAGTGCTACAGCGTCAAACAATAATCCACTTACAGGTAGGGAACATTTTCAATGGTGGATTGAAGATTCCGTGCGTCCATTGATCGATGTAGAAAGAGAGACTGGGTGGCTAGTAGTGCAATCGCAATTGCAACCGGTAGAGCAGCAGCAATATCAACAACAACAACACCCAAAACCCAATCCATCGGAATCTGTCCATAATAGGAGAACTGAAGTGATCATGGCATCCTCACAGTTAGATAGAGAGGTTCTCACCGAGCTCTCTTTTACTGTTTACGTGCAAGATACGCCACAAACCAAGGGAGAGAATCGTCTGACAGCCAGTGCAACAGTTCTGTTACGAATCCTTGATATCAATGACCATGTCCCGAAAATTTCGGAATATAACTATTTTCAAATATCGGAAGCCGCCGTGCCAGGTACAGTGATTGGGAATCTGGTTGCTTTGGACGGTGATGAACCGGATAATCCAAATTCCGCTCTCACATATCATATCTACTCACACGGAGATGGTATTGATCCAACCGGACGAGAACTAACAGTGTTGAACCGTTCACCTACTGATTCAATGATGAATGAACTTCGAGATATCAAGGTAGGTCACAAGTCAAATAGACTTTTAGAACATATTTGATATAATGTCTATGGAGCCCATGGAACTGTGGGATTTTCAAATGCAAATTCTGAAGCTTGTCAATTGGTTTATTTTTCTAGCAAATCGAAGTAAAAATCAACTGATAAAGTAGTTTTATAGCCGAAACTAGCGTCACTTGCCCCCTTAATAAATGCTCAAATTATCTTCAAAATTGGAATTGGTGTTTATTATTGATGTTACGAGAAGGTTTGGAATTCAAATGAAATTTATTTAACTTTCCTTTTCATTCAGACTATGAAAATAAGTACCATTGTGCGCTATGTAGCAATTGAGTCTCAACTTCTGACATGAGTCCTGCAAACCGCATTTGTTTAATTCTTTTTGCAAACATACATTATGAAATCGTAAAGGGCATATTACGAAATTCAAAACGTACGTAACAGTTAGACTTCAAAGTGAAGTTTTTATGCAACAAATCATTTCTGATGCACGGCAACTTGTTGATGTGCTTTTTGATGAAAAAAGTGTGCAAATGAGTGTAATATCTGATATGAAGTCATGCGCAGCTGTTCCATTAGACATATGTGCAACTTTTTGTGCCTGTCGAGGATGGAAATGGAAGGCTGAGTGTTGATGGCTTGTACTCTTATCCACAAACCAAACAAAATCACGTTTGTTGAGGTTGGAGTCTCTTGGTAGACCTCTTCCTTACGCTGATTCGCCAACTCGCATTGGTCAAAAAGGACCTTTTCTGTCTAAAATCTAGTTGTTCAATATCTCTTAGGTGCAACCAAAATATTTAAATTTATTTTCCAGTTTAACTTCAGGTTGGCTCAAATATATGCACTAGGTTAATCGGAGTTACTGTTAAATAACCTTGTCGACCTAGCTGATACTTACACGTCCTCCATACTAGCAATCTGGTAATCAAAACCTGGATACACCAATTGACATGAGCCACTGAGCAGATTTGTTGAGAGCAACATTCAAGTCTTCACTGATTTCACTTGTATGGTAACCAGAATGAAGTAAAGCTCGTGAGAAAAGTAAATTGTGAAAAATAAGCGAACAAATATCGAACTCAAATTCAATTTTTTATTATAGGTAAACCATACAAAGACCTCGCTTATCAACCTCCATAGGGTTTATACACTTCGGTTCACACAAACGATTCACAAGGTCACAGTTAATCCATGTAAGTAGAATAATAATGCAATGATTTTGACGAGCACATGAGAATATATTATGTAGTTTTGGTGTTGAAACACAATGTTTGCCAGAGCATCATCGAGCTGATGCTTGAAAGATACTAATGCTGGGGCACAGACCACGTGAGATTGTGGGGAGCTCCATGTGCTGCACACTCTGACTGCAAACGAATAGCGTCTGCAACCAATAAGGCTCTTTTGGAGTGCCAACCTTAATGGATGCCCTCTGAGATGAACATTGACTGATAGACGGTTGAGCTGTTGGAAAATCCGTGACAGTAAAATCATATCACCTCTGATTTGACGATATTCATACGAGTATAGCCCCAAGAGCTGTAATTTTTCGCCATGAGTCTTGGAATATGGACCTTTGACCATCTTAGTAGCCATTCTCAGTAGATGTTCGAGCGCCTTCAGACCTCACTGCAGTCATGGGTTCCAGGCCTGAATTTAATACCCGGTTTAAGGACGGATGTATGGGGCTAACAGACGTGGAAACAAAGCCGGCTCAAACGATCCAAGAACACGTTTTAGCAGTTCAATCTGTTTTACCGCCATGGCTGATGCCCCGGAACAGTTTGTGGAGCAACTCAAGTCTGTGTGAATGAATATTCCCAGATCCTTCTCGAATGGAGCATGAGGCACAGTTTGACGTCCGAGAGTGCAGAAAGAACGATCACTGCGATACAGTAATGAGACTTTTAATTTGGTAACATTGAATTCCATGTCATTGGAGACAGACCATCTGTGGGCTTCGTCAAGGGCCTTCTGAAGATCAAATGAATATTCTGGTTTTGTTGTTGTCCTCCATATTTTGGCATCGTCTGCAGACAGCAGAGCTTGTAGTCCGAGGACGTCTGAAGATCATTTATAAGAGCGATGAAAAGAAGTGAGCCTATCACAGGTCCCTGTGGAACCCCACGGCTGACATTTATTGGATCAGAAATTGAATCGGAAACACAAACTGACATGGTATGTAGACGGAAAAAAATTCCGATCCAGCCAAGTACGAGTCCACGGATTCCATAGTTATACAGCTTAATTATCTGTATTTGATGATTTACCCTATCAAATTCTTTAGAGAAGTCCAGGTAAATAACATCTACTCCTTTGCCTTGGTCTACAGCATGAGTCCAATCGTCCCGAGCCAAAATCTAGTTAGCTGTGCATGAACGAATTTTTCGAAATCCGTACTGGGCTGGTGATAGTAAGCCATTATTCTCCAGATGATCCATCGCAGAATCTGCAAAATTCGATTCTATGAATTTGACAACACTGGAAAGAGAGTGATGGGTCTGTAGTTGGCTAGGTCACCACAGCATCCACCTTTGTAAATTGGTGAAAGGATATCGTTTTTCCACACTTAAGGAAGCAAACCATCCTCAAATAATTTTTAGTATAGTCCACTTAAAAGATCGGCTATGTGACTACCTAGAGTGATGAGGGATTGTGGATGAATGTTATCTTAACCCGGTGATGAGTTCTTCCTCAAAGCCTGAAGTTTTGTCTTGATCCTTTCGGAAGAAAAGATAATGTCTGTCAGTAATGGATAAGGAATATGTTTCAGCAAAAAGGGGAGGTACTAACCCAGTATCACTAGGCACAGTGAGCACTTGAGAGTACTGTAGTCTGAGCATCTCTGCAACCTCCTTGGTTGTCGTTGAAACAAGGCCTGCTAAGTTTAGTACCGAAGCCGCGTGTTTGACTTTCCGGGAAGCTTTTACACGCTTAAATAATAGCTTAGGATTTGCGATGAATTGCTTCGCCAGTATATCATGATAAGTATAGTTGTCTTCCCGCACCAAATTTGTATCGTGGTTTCGAAGGAGCCTGTAAGCTTCCCAAGTGCCGAGGACTGGAAAACGTTTTAACTCCCTCCAATAAAACTCCCTTTGCATTATCCATTTCCAAGTTGGACTGTGAATTGCTGATTTTCGAACAGTCGGTTGGCATAGGCGCTTGACGGTTGTAACAGCAGCCAACTGAATTTGGTTGATAACCACTTAACTGACGTGTGCGATTCAACGATCGTGATTGTGCAGTCCCCCATTTGTATATAAAACATTCAACGATTTGTATATTTTCGTTACAAAATCTGACTGCTTGTTGACTGTAATGTCATCTGGGGATTCAGTGCATACTGGTTGGTAATTTGGGACTGACATTTGCGCGGCATTCCCCGGTAAGTCATTAAGTAAATCTATAGAAGAATTTTGGAAATCAGCGTGATTTCCAAAGTGAGCATAATTTGGGTACTCATAATTTATCACTCATAAATCATATTAGGTTAAAAATAATTAAAACTCACATATTGTTTGGAAAAAACGGAAAAAATCGTAAACCACAAAGGCGGTCAGTTGATGTTGATTGATATCAGTATACTTACCTAACACTAATCATATTTTGACGGTTCACTTGAAGTTTAGTGGAAATAGGCAGACAATTTTTTTTTCAATGACAAAGGCCAACAAATGCGAACTGTTATATCTTATTTTTCACACTTGTTGATAGGCGAGAGGATGGTGCCCCGTTTGAGAACAGTTGTTAATTGATAAATAATAAGATAAATAATGCTTCTCGTTTTGATAACCGTATTGGGTTCATTTACCACCCCATACGTCATGATAAGCAAAATCCACGCTGTGAACGCAGATATACTGGTCCATTCAGTCACATCAAAAGAATAAACTGATCATTGATTGTTTCCTATGGTTCTGAGTGTTCTCCACCGGCGAAATGGATTTCTCAGCAGAAAAGCAATCAATTTGTCACTGAGAATCTTATGAAATTCAGCGTCACCTTTAATTTCTTTGAACGTTCTGTTAGGAATTCATTTCTTTCTCTCTTCCAAGAACCATCAGTTTCATCTAGCCAGCATGTATTAGTTGTGTCCTTCATTATCCAGGTTGTTGAACATTTTATTTTATCAGTTGGAAGATTTTCAACTTGAGAAAAAGCAACTGGTTCACGCAGGACAAAGGTCCAGTTTTGCTGAATTTTGTAATCAATAAAATCAATTTTCTTTCAGATTATATCTTTGTTAGACTATGTAAAAGGAACGCTCTGTTCAGGGTATCATCGTTACGGTAATCGTCATGCACGTTTGTCCCCAGATCGTTCTGGTAATATTTTTTCACTCTAATACTGCATCGGACATTTAACAATGCATACGGTCAATAAACAACCGGCTGCACCTGTGCCCTGTATCGAACCGCTCTCCTTCACACTGTGATGTTACGTTGTCACGAATAAAGGTCAACGAATGAAACCATTCAAGTACATCAGACTTTCTCTCGTTTTAACTGTCCCAATTCGCTTCTCACTCTCGTGAACAAAATTGCTAGTGATCCTACCGTAAAGGATTAGAAGAGGTATGTTATTGCCGTTCCACAGCAACCAAAACGAACTGTCTATTATTAATTTCTTAGAAAAAGTACTTCCATCAGTGAAGACCGAGCGCTGATTCATATATATGCAATCCAACTATCCTCCTGAGTAGAGCGCAGTTAGTTGCTTGAATAATGTGCCAATTTAAAGAATAGTGTGTTAACCCGGAATCAAAGATTGTCGCTCATATTGTCCACATAACTACACTGAGGTCTTTTTGGTGAACCTACAGCGATCTGTCGGTACAAGATTAAAATGTTTGACGATAAACTTTGCATTTCCCCTTCATCATATACAGCTGAATGATCTACTTTCGAAGGTGATGCTGACTGCATGGTATCTGCATTGGATCACAAATAAGAGGTGAAATTGGGTAGTTTTGGTGGTGACGATATGAGGTGATATGATGTGGTCTTGAAGGATTTGATGTGCGATTCTTTATAATACTCGCCTTAATTGTTTGACCTTCGCCGCTAAACATTTATGCTCTGTATAATCGATTCTTAACAATGATGACCTCGGCCGGAGTTAATCCATACCGCACATACCTGAACAGGGCCGATTCGCTGAGAGCTGGAGAATGTATTTTCTTCAAAAGTCATGATTTGAATCAAAATGTTTTATTCCTCCATATGTGTAATTTGTGTGCCAAACATATCTCACCTCGTGCAACCAATTATCATCAACACCTCGCATTTTTTTCCATAACATGACAGATAAATTAAAAATGGAATAAAGTGAAAACACCCATGGTGA